AGGCTGGGAACGAGTGTGAGAGTGCTGAGGGTAGTTAAGAGAGGACAGGGAATGTGGGAGGAAGGCGAGTGTGGATGGAAGTTGGGGCAAGGAAAAGGGTGGGCGTGGCAGCGAGTGTGAGTAAACGGTGGATGCGGCAAAATGGGTCGACAATCTCAACAAGCAACCCGCACCTCTCAATCGCGGCTCACATGCGTTAGATGTAGCATCTGCGTTACCTGTGACTTACCTTAATTTGACTTGCTTGCTCTTGTTGTCGCCGGACCTGTAGCCCGGGTCGAACACCGTGACATCTAGGAATGGCATGTCAATCTGGATCTTTCCTGCATTAATAGGAATGGCATGTCAATCTGGATCTTTCCTGCATTAATAGACACGGGAGACGGTATAGCTCACAACAAAACTACTTACAATGCAGACACAGTTTTTGTTATTCTGGTCATCAGGCAGGTTAAGCCAGGTCCAGTCAATTCCAGATTCTGGATAAAACTAACTCAATGCTGCAAGAGGCAGGGGCTGGAGCAACTCTTTACCAGAGCTGGCTAGACTGTGTAAGTAAAAAAGTAAATCAACCGTGTGCTTTGATATTGCAGCTTATGATATTGGCAGTGAATCTGCTTTCCCATCGGTTTGCTTGCTTGCTACTGCTATTACTTATTGCTGTAACATGTGTTTGAACGCAAGTTTGACTTTATATCATCATTCCTGTTTACATTGCTGTTAACAAATTAACACCAACCAGTAACTGATACATCTCACATACACATGACCTCACCTTTAGCAGTGTTAACTGATACATCTCACATACACATGACCTCACCTTTAGCAGTGTTAACTGTCTCCACTGTGTCCAGGTCATCCGTAATATCGGCCGTGCGTAACATTGTGATGTACCGAGCTAGATTCAGATGCTGCACCTACACACACACACACACACACACACAGACACGATGTTTACATAAACACAATCACTGTGCAGCGTTACACTGTCCACACTGTCACACTGCCACCCTTTCTTTTATGTTAGAATAACCTGCCACCAAAGTTTCAACGCGTCACAAATTTTTTAGCCAATAACAATCAGCAGTAGGTGTTTTAAGCGATTTATATAGAATTATGGATGATTTCGCTTAGTTATTAGAGTAATAATCTCACTTTTGCCACCATTGCATATGCTAATATGGAAGATAATACAATATAAAGGTAGAGACAAAGGGTTAGCAGAGGGAGACACTGACAATCATTCCTCACCTCCAATCTGAACGTAGTGTCTGTGTCCTCTAGCGGTGTGAGGAACGATGTTGAGAAGATCTCACAGAGAATGAGACTCGCCAGACCTGCAAGCACACCCTTCATTGTCACCTTCATTGTCACATTCATTGTCACCTTCATTGTCACATTCATTGTCACCTTCATTGTCGCATTCAGTATCACTTCTACCGTTAGGTCATAATAAAAATATTGTTTGTTTGCCCTCGCCCGACCGACCCGCCAAAAAGCGGCCGACTCAAATTTTTTTATTGAACTTCCCTTTTTTTACAAATTGTATCACTGTACATTATGTAAATCTGTAGGCAATACATTATGTGTACCAAGCAAAACAAACATTCAACATAAAAGGTATCTCCACACAAGAACACCCGAGTATGTAGACATCATGCTGAATTTGTAAAAAAAAACCTCAAAAAAAATAAAAAAGCCTACCTACCTACCCAAACTTTTCAGCCTGGGTCGGGTGAAGGCAAACACACATTTTTTTAATTGTGGCCTCACCGTGTTACTGTCTATCAATTACACACATACCTGTCAATGAATCATTCATGTTGCTAGCCAAGGTTCCGTGAAGGAGAATCTAGCCGGGCCTACCTCTATACTCGTAATTTCTCAGTCTACACAACCGACTCACCACTGACGCGCCTCCCCCACACTGCATGCCACATCTTATATCGCATATACCGGTCTCAAACGTATATTAACATTGCTATATGATAGCTATGCATAACATAATGCACGCACGCACGCATGCACGCACGCACGCACGCACGCACG